TAGAATGGAACTAGATTCATTAGGGATATTTACTATTCAATTATATGATTATATTCAGTGAGAATAGGTATGGTATTTAACAGAAGTAATGACAATCTGTATTCGATGAGAGTAAATATGCGTGAATATAAAGCAATTCTAATAAGGTGGGACTTAAAATAGTAATTGTAACATAATGAAACTCTACCTAATTTATAAAACATCTTATTATAAGTAAATATATATATATATATTTGGATTTGCTTGATAAATATAGATTTATTCTTTTAATAACATTACATCATTAAGTATTTCTATCTAGAAAAAGTGTAAATCGTAATTTGTTTACATTGTCTATATTGAAGATGAAACTGATAAATATGAGCGGTAAACACAACCAGATTCATTGTTTTGATTTACAGAATTTCTAATTTTAAACACATTACCTAATTGTTTTGATTTTGTAATTAAATGATACATTTAGATGTTGTGATTTCCTGAAAACCAAATGCTGTCTGTTGGATTTTATTTGTTTAAAGGAAGACCAAATGTCTACCTAACGAGATTAATTATGTAACAGTGTAGACAGCCTAGAGTTTCCATTACTAGCTCAGTGTTAAAATGTTTGATGTGAATCTGGAAGGTCTTAAGCAACAATGAACTGGTCAACTGAGTTGATAAACATTGTACACTTCTAAAAAAATATTTCGATGAATAATTAGGCTCTAGAAAACTGTTCAATGTAGTCATCATCCTTTTCCTAATTTACGATAACAGGTTTTTAATTTGATCGCTATTTAACCTTTTCTCGAAAAAATTGACCCAAATTATTAGGCTTTAAACCATAACAGTAAAGAAAACAGAACTACGAATAAAGATGAAGAGAAAACTGAGGGGTTTAGATTAGGGTACAGAGAACAAATTTTATACTGACATTAATTTTGACTTCCTTTTCATGATGTCTTTCTAGTTAACGATCATTAATACCTGATGAACTTAAGTAATAGTCATACATTTACATGCATGTTGCTGACCAATAGTTGATGACAGTAAGAAAATTTGTAGTTTTGACTCAGGAGTTGTCAGCATTCTACCCGCATGTCTATTAATTTGAGCGGTAACTTAATATGGACTACTTCAATCCACTATATTTCACATATATGAATGTTGTCTTCCTTCTTGCTTCAGATTCATTCCAATTAACCTTGTAAACAGTGATCTGGTTTTAGCGTTATCATGTAATTTTCCTTCAACATCCAGACTTTGATTTTTATATAACAGAAAATAGTGATCTATAGATTTGTGCCATTAAAATTTGGTACATAATCAAACATATTTCTGTCTTGTTTGTTTATTTAAATTTCCGTACGATTTGATGAATTTGTCCAACAGACAGGATATTAAAAAAAAAAACAGTTCGACCAATTTATCAATTGTAATCTGACAGGATGTTATTGCAAATCATTTTTGGAATGTACTTTCAGTTTTCGAAATATTTTCCTGTATATTGTAACTCTTCACTAGAACATTTTGACAATTTTAAAACTTGTTAATTTCTCGTTTTAAAGCGAATTACGAACTTTTAAAACTAAAGAATCTAAAATTAAAAAGACTAATAATCACCAATGTAAACTTAATGCCGAAGTCTCGTATATTGTGCAGTTGATTGGAAATTCAAAGTTTAACAATATTATTATGCCACCCAGTGAATTGTCAGTCAACAAGAAAAGAAGACTATTCGTTGACCCAATTTTTAAATGACTACTTTTTCAATTAAAGTAATGCTCGGTCATTTCCAGGTAAACATTATTATTTTATCCTATTTGTATTAAAATAATTGAGTACAATTAATTTTAGGTAAAAAAAGATAATACCTCGTTAGGTAAATATTGTATTATGACTGCTTTCTCTATTAGGTTCCTTCTATATTCATTTCAGACAAGTTATTAACAGAAGAAAAGATTGGTTATATTTGATTATTTTAACATAGTTCAACAAAAAATCAGTTTTACTTTCATTCATTATTTATCTAATCCTTAAGAGGCTGTCAACCTAAACTATTCTTGTTTAATAATTATCAATATCATCACTAAATTCTTGATCAGTTGTTTTGATTTCTTTTAATTTAGTTCAAGTTAACTTGTACAGGAGTTACATTACACTGAACGTCCATAACTTCTATTATCTTGTAACATAATTCCTCTTGTGACTTTTTATAGAACATTTCGTGAAACACCGGAATGAGTAACCGTGTTGTGTAACTAATAGATACTAAACTATAGACTATCATTTGTCATTTAGTATTATCAAGCAGATTTTTTTGGTAAAATATTGAATCAATAATGGGATGTATGTTTACTTATATGAATATTTTTCTCGCATAACATACTACTAAGTTAATATAATAAACTTTTATTGGATATATTTTTAAGGTGTTACACATTAGATATAGATTGCTATTTTATTCAAAAATGATTGAAGTGTATGATGCATATGAAATGACCTACATTTCTTCCAAAAAAAAAAGATAATGTAAATCTATTACTACATAAATAAATTTACTATTAAGGTCAATCAGGCATCTTAACTGCAATTAAGTTAAACAACATTGAACTCAAAAATCAATATGCCTTTGCGAAATCTACATTAGATAACGAAACGAATATATTTAGTGACAGATTCTATGTCGTTTTGATTTAGTAAATTAAAAACTAAAGTCAAAGTTACAAAGTAATGGATCCGTTGACAACAATTAGATGTAAGCTGTTTTAGGAAAAGACAACTTGTTCATGTGATTGGAATAAAATTGTTTATAGAAAGATGACAATACTTAACTAACTACAGTATGTTAGGATTCAAGATTGATGAACTCTATTTTTTCTTAAATGATTGGTTTTAAAACACGTCATAAAATGAAATCTCTCAGTAGGTTGGTCAGACCCTGAGAGAATTGTGTTAATTCATGCCAAATTAACAAACTGTGATGAAATTAACAAGATGAATGCTAAGGAGTCGAAATAGTAGTATTATCGGTGCTAGTAAGAAAAGCAAACTATTGGGAATATGGTTCGAGAGTTCTAAGCCATGAGTCTTCCTTTTCTCTGAAATGCACAAATAGTATATGATTATCCTGTTAACTAAAGCATGAGAATAATCCCATCATATGCAGTTAACCTTAATTATGGTCCATTGTATCACTATTGAAGGCTATGAATTCCCATTTTGAAAATGGAACAATTAAGTTTCGTAAGTAGGTTTCCCTTTTCTATTGTGACTCATCTTTACTATTCAGAGTCCGATTTTTAAACAAGAAGACACGGTTTGCACCAGACATATATTGATTACAATTCACCTTTCACGACTTGCTATTTTTTAACCATTAGTAGTTGCTTAATCTATCCAGGTCTTATGGTTGTCTTACAATGAAAAGGTTTTTATACAAGACTGTATTCTCGGAATCCAAACTAAGACTAACTTATGCAATACTTCAGAATGTTCCCCTCCGAGGTTACACTACAACTAATAGCGTTTTTTGGGTTCTACTTATTAGTATAACTAATGATAAATACTTGAAAGCATTTTATAAAATCCCCGGTTAAACTGCATCAGGTGGAGTTTTGTTCTCTGAGCTGGATGGTTTAGTCGTGGAGCTTTCTTCATTCTTCTGAACGACATCATCAGCACAAACTTCAGATATTAACTTTCATTATGGTGATAATGGCTGAATTTTGAGAGAAGTGCAGATCGCCAATATGCTATGCATATTCAGATTACTGAGTAAAGGTTTATCGGTGAATAAGTTGGGCCATAAGACCATTTGAATTTGACGAAAATCGATTTTCATTTGTTTCTTGAAATTCAAACCAGTGGGGTCACGGAAAAATCTTTCTTTCACTATGGTTTAACTACTAACAAGTAGGCAGACATGTATAAACGAATTTCAGAGACGAAACTATATCTAGTAAATAGCACAACCCAAAGCAGCCTAAATTGACTACTTTTGTCAGGTGAAAAAGTAAATATATTGATGCATATTAAATGAGCAAATTATACAACCTTTTGAACGATCGTACTGCTAACTTTATTGTTACGGTCACATACAGTTAACTATTGAGATGGCTCTATCATTCTAGTGAGTAGATACACTCTCCTATCATATTAAACTATATTATCTATGCTAAGCTTAGATATGGAGCTGGATTAGTCATGAGATTGATCATCTTTAACACAAAAAATCTGTTACAACCTAATATTACTTAAATGTTGCAAGGAACAGCCTTAGCACAGATTAACTTCTAATTACTTTAGGACAATATTTAATTCTACTGATGTAATTGAATAAAATAAAAAGATCAACTGGTTGACAGACCAGACAAGAGAGGTGGCCTGCTTGAATATCTGGGCGACCTGTTCCTGCCATCTAGATATTTCAACAAGTTATCTGTCCCCTTGTTTGTTTTCGCAGACCATTATGTCAAATAATTGCATAACTTATTCAGGTGCGTTTGTGAAAAATTTACGACCTTTCGCTGCACAAGTTACAAAAATGTTCAATCGGAGACATCATGATGCCTGGTAATATGCATTGAAAAGGATGAATATTACTCAGATGTGGACTTTTGCAATGCTAATATCTGATTGGCGACCACTCAATACTTATCGTCAATGTCTATCAAAGTATAAGAAACGGAAACTCGCTGAAATACTTTGTGCTGAGAATTCTATTTTGTACCAAAAACATAATATTGAATAAACCTCATAATAAATAAAATAAGTAAATATACTCCATCATGTTTCAACCTTCCCCATTAGTAAAATAACCAAAACCACTAGATCTTCAGCTGTGATTTTAGTACGGTTTTACATGTAAGCGACGCAAAGCCCTTAAAAGTTCCACCATTAATAACCTCTTACACACATATACTTCTCGTCTGTATTTAGTCTGAGAACTTAGAAAAATATATTGAGAAACAACAAATGGATATAACGATCCCTAGTTGAGACAAGCAGAAACTAAAAAAGAATATTTAGTAGCTTTCGTATTTTTTTTCTAGTGTCAAATATTCCTAGGTATGTACACAGGTTCTAGAATACGTGCTTTCTACACATGAAAGTCAATAATTTACAAATAAAAGTAAACCTTCTCAAATTTAAACCAACGAAAATAATTCCCACAAAGAAGTGGAATATGTACAACACAGAATGTTAGGAATGAAGTAAAGAGTAAATAGAAGACATTGGTTCCACATAATCTCTCCAAACAATGTCCTCAAATACAGGTATTAAGAACTGGAAAAGTTTCAAAAGCGGTGGTCAATAATTAAGAGTCAAATAAAATATAAAAAACTCCATGAACATGGTTATCAAAAACCCTGATCCTTTTTCTGTTCTCCTCTTCATTTTAAACCACGTACAAATGCAGGGTCGCACGGTTCATCAGTCGTGCAAGTAGCAGGTTTTGGTGTTTGAAGGCGTCCAAAATGACTTAACGGCCATACACGGAGAAATACTTTGTACTCTAAGTGAGAAATGGGGACGGGGCCATAAGACCTTGAGTCTAATGACTGTAATGTATTGTCACCTTCTAACCAAACATGACCTCGAGGTACCTAAGAGGATAGATGAGAGTCAATACATTAATAATTTTTCCACATTGCAACCATTCTATACGTTACTTCAAACTAAGACAAATTACTAAGGGAGAGAAAGCAGTCATGAATGAGGAGAGGTTCGAATGCCATATTGACTTAAACTGTCACGTTAAAAGGGTGTTTTTAAACTAGTAAAGTTTCTTAATTCCACTGGCAGTGACAAGAAAAAAAGAGGTCGAAATCATCAGTCATAGTGTAGAAAATGAGAACAAAGATGGAAGTAACAACTCCGTAAGTACTTAAAATGAAACAGGGTAGATACCATAACCTTAACGATCAGTTTTATTCAGTCTTTTTTGTAAACCTATTGATTACCTTCTACCATGGACTTAATCTCATAACGTTGTTCCACTGCCTTGTAGCCCAGACCTTTAGGTCAAAGACCGGAGGAGTGGCCCCCTAGGAAAACCACCTGCTCCGGTTTAGGTGCACTGGCAGAATCTCAATCTTCACAACAACCGAATGAGGAGTTATAGAGCGTATATATTTGATGCCGTCTTGTACCAATGTTTATGTATATAAATAAAATAAACCCGTAAAAATCAGTTTTACAATGACTGACTTCATTATTCAAATTAGTAACCCAGTTTGAATATCCGTAGAATTAATTTACTATGTACAAAATGACTGACTTAAAAATTTAACCAATGAGTCGAAATAAACTGGTTGAGGATGTACAATGTACGTCTGTATCCCATGTTGGTAGACGACTAATACAACCAAAGACTCATTTGTTTTTTTATGCAACAGCAAGAATCAGATTTTAACTGTTTAACAGGCGGCTACATGAGGCAGAGGTAACACTTTAAAAAACATTAATAATTAATTACTCAAAAGTATCCAACCGTTATTAATCATATGAAACAGGAACTACTAACATGGGGTACCGTTAATCCCGACCGCTGTTGCTACCTTGACGTGGTGGTCGGGCTTGCCTATGGTGATGAAGCAACCGAGCTATACTGGCTGGAACAACCGTTCCTCAAGGTCCTACCATGTCAGACAGGTCGGTTGAAGAGCGGTAAGACTAAAAGCAACAAACCCAAGGTCCGAGGGCGAAGTCGTACTGCTGACTGTACAGAGGTGTGACAGCAGTAAGGTGTTTCCTTCAGACAACCAGCATGACAGCGATGCTGCCTTCCCACAAGGAGGGGCGAGGTTAGAAAAGGTCGACCCTAAAAATGCACACCTCGCCTTATCCACGGATATCCGTCTTTGGCGGTACGGTCTCAATAAGTACGGAGCTAACACAAAAATTACCCATAAAAAGGTCGTGTGTGACCGACCTCAAGCAGTTGTCCCTTGGGCACTGTGGTCACGCTCTCAGGTCACTAAGACCACCTTTAATCCGATTTCCTTTTCAGGTACCTCCAGAACAACCCTTCCACGGTGTGGGCAACCGGGAAGTGATAAACGCCCTCATACCTCTAACAGCAGTCAAGAACACTGTTCTTTTTTTTGTACTGTTAATAGTGAAATGTTAAACTATGGAGGAGGAACAAGTGTTCAGCTCAATTACAAACTACATTATTGGAACTATGGTAAAAGATGAGAGGAATTTCTTAACTGAAAACTGTACACAAATTTATGTAGCTTTAGGTTATTAACCATAGATGTGGGTAGTGGTTTGGTTTTATTAGTTAGTTTGTGGGTAAACCAAAATTGACCATTAGAAACCTGTGATGATATAACTTAATTGAGGCAAATATTTGCAAGAACATTTGCTCGAAAACATTTTGTGCATCTTACGAGTCATAATACTCCATTCTGCTTTCCTTTTGTTCCTCTCGATTCTTAATTCGTTCACTGGCGATAGCACCTCTCTTTTGATATTTATACTGCTAAATTGCTCTAAAAAGTCAATGAAAATCTTGACGAATAAAACAAGACCTGAGTTCTTTTGCAAGTAACGACTTTATCGCCTGTATTTACCTGACGTGCACGCGTAAAGGCTGGTAGGGTGTTTATGAATGGAGACATCTTATATAGTAAAGACAGGGCTGTTTTAATCGATTTCCACGTTCGCCGAACTTTTGGTGATTGATGAGACCATAATTTATGGACCTTTGAGCGACGCTGGACTGACCTTGATGGTGTCCACCTAATCAATAGGACAAAGTGAGGGTTATAACTCTCTGTGAGGACTTCGAATTGTGATTTACAATTGACGGTTAAGGTTAGGAATTATATTTACGGTCTTCATCGAAATCAGCTATAATGTCAAAACTCTATTTTGCCAAATTGGTGAGTGAAGTTCGCGCAAAGATCCGAGACCTGTTGTTTTATACCTGATTGGTTCGTCCATAATTTATAGTCTCGCCTTTTTTCATTATTGTATCTACGGTACGCTTTTAATATTACGACATAACTCGTGGAAACCTGAACTCCTAATTTTAGGGAAGCCTCTATAGTGAACTTTGGGGAAATGGCACTAGAACCCCAAAATTTCCCCAGACCTGGGGAAACTCCCCAATATTTCCTTTTAACCTTGGTAGTTTCCCTAAACTTGGGAAATGGGAAACAGGCACGGAGGTTCGTGGCGATTTACCGAAACCACACATTACTGACAAATTCTAAGAAGTTCTGTCTTTACCTGCTTAGCGATGATTTCCAAATTACTCTTGTCCCAGAAAGTAACTCGGTCATCGCCAAGACCTTTGATACGTTTTAGAACATGCGTAGTATCATACGTTCTGCGTTGACCAGCAATCACAACATCTCCTCTATAAATAGAATGGTATTTTGAGTGAACTATACCTTCTTATACGTCCCAAAATGATTGAGAGCCTTTCAACAACTAGATAGTCACCATCGTTAACAGTAGGTTGCATACTAACACCGTCACACTAAAAATATAGGCGAGCATTTGATCGGAACTTGCGTAAACTATTGTACCAACAAGTGAATGATATTTGTAAGTTATTATACCAGTGCTTAAGGCTATTATTCCCCGAAATACTCCGATCGGTAGCCTCTTCAGCATTGACCTTGAATGGTTAAATCTCGGCTTAAGTGCAAGGACACTACGGGTGTAGAAAAAACATGCAGTGTCATCTAAAGCAATGGATACGGCATATTCAGCTTCCTTATAATAAAACGTGAAGTCACAATTACCTTTTGACCTTTGTAAGGAATTACTTACAATAAGCCTGTTCAAGCCTCAATATTGTAAAATTAAGCATTAACATGACCTGCCATTGGTACAGTCTTCAGTTCTAATTGGAAAAGGACAGATGTCTTAGTGGCTTATGTTATTTCCGGCAGTGGCTTTCCTTCCGTTTTATTGGACGTTCTTCTTAGAATATCGAGAGATGGAACTCCAATCGTGTGTTGAGTTCATGAGTTCCATTCGTTTGTGGTTCGCTGGGAAAGTAACACTCCTTCCGTCTATATGACAAAGGAAATACATTTAGTTCGGACAGCCTCTCGTTATACGGCAGCTATGTCATGCAGAGAATCAATCATCACGAGGCGTCATAACTTTTATAAATGAGGATGCTTGGCTACAGATTTTTTCTACGGAATGGAGTTGCTTACCTTATGCCCAACCCTCTTCCTTTATCCGAATGCGGATCAGTGACCCAAAGGACACAGTGGTGGATAGTCTCGCAATGTAGTGGGTTGATTAAGGTTAGCCATTAACACCGTCAGATGCCGCCTCAATGGTCATAAAGTTTAGCGTCCATGCTAGAGATCAAAGATGTTGAGTTAGATTGCGGCGCGAAAAGTCCTAGATGCCCACTGTTGAATAGTCTGAAATTAGAACGAAACGGCCATACAGCGCTTCCAGGTTTTCAGTGGCGGTCTAACTTAGGTCGGTTCATGACATGCCATTCAACATACCCCAAAACACTTAAGTGACAACTAATAAGGGCCTGTTTCAAGTACGTCCTGTTAATTTTATCAGTGTTTCTGTCAGTTATGTCCATAACTAACCAGCCAAGTCGTTGTTTAAGCGCCCACCACGTTGATCTATTCGGATGTGTTTGCAAAGTATCTCTATTGCATGTGACCTACCACTTTGGAAATATTATTATCCTATTACATTATTGTGACTCATAATTTTATTCATTTCGATAAGACACGTAATATGTTTGGGTGTTTCACTTAATAACTGTAATTTTCTTCAATTATTGTACTAATCTAATCGTTTTTACGTTCAGAAACAGATGAAGTTTAAAGCCAAGTTGTCTTTGTTCTGACTATAGCTTTCACATAAACTCTGTGCTCGCCAGCATCGCGTTTACGGTTCTAGTAGTAGTATATCTGTAAGACAAATTAAATCCTATAATTTCAGGTTTTGATTTCTCAGCACTTTTTAAAATAGAAGATTTATTTCTCTCTTAGGTTTATTTATTCACAGTTTAATTTTAATTTGAAGAAGTCACTGTACTTTGTACTATTTTTATAGAAATACGGTAGATTTACTCCCAGTTGTGAACTGAGCAACATTTACGTTGTTTACTTTGCTAGAATGCGTTATAGGTCAGATTATTATCGCTACATCCAACCGCAATTTTCATAATCAATTTCATCGACTAAATAAATTTATAACAACCTATTCCGTGCGGTTAAGAGTTGTACGACGACATTTTGATTTATAGCCTCTGTTTAACCTGCTACTCACAGCTAGCTTACATGCTCAACTATTCTAAACTTCCCTCTGTAGCACTACTATGAATAACTCGTTCAATATGTAATCAGAACATCGAGTTCAGAGTAAGTCTCTGACAGCTACGCTCGAACCGAAACATCGTCAGTTGTCCGTAAGAAATTCATGTAATCACCACTATTGTCACGCGACAAATTTTTTTCGATCATAATAATAACATCTGTTTTTGCTCTCAAATAGCCTTCAGATCAATTTTTTCTTTGTGAGTGTTAAGAGCTCAAAAATTTCAACGAATGTCAAACAGGACGTGACTGATGTATGGTCAGGTTTATCGGTCATATAACAAGTTAAAAGCTACCATGTTAATTACTTGAATTTGTCTATTATTGGGATGTATGTTACTTATACAGATAAATATAAGCGATGTGTAGCAACAGCTGAAAACGGGATGGCTGTCAGTAAGAGATCGAAATGAGGAGGACAGGAAGAAAATCAGACAGCAGTCAAAATAAAGACAGAATTAGAGGAACAATGGCGTACGTAAGGGAGAGCGCAAAGAAGATGTACAAATGATGCAATTAATGTGTGATCAAATTTCATTAAGCCACAGTACGATATAACGTTAAACAATAACTTGGTTTTCCAACCTGATTTCTCGTTCACTACACTATTTCTACTACACATTAATGACAAGAAACTATAACATAAAAAGGAAATAGTCTTGTATTCAGCCGAAGCTAATTAAGTGTTTAAATAAAAAGTATAGAAAGCTCACTCGAAACTTTCGATTTATATATCAAACCTTGTCGTATTATAACTCTTATTTTAATGGTGTTTAATATTCAACCCGATTGTTTGATTGTGTGTTAGAAAAATACTGAGCAATTCTTTTTAGAATTAGAAAAAAGTAAATTAAATCTTTATTTAGCAATTAATATTAGTTCCGAAGCATTCAAAGTTCATTTGTTCTGAACCAGGGCATACACGACCACCATTTCTAGGTGCCGGTGAGTTGCATTTTCTATATCGACTACGTGTGCCCAATTTCGATGCACATTTTGAATTACAGTTACTCCAATTTGACCATCTCGACCATGAACCATCACCTACAAGATAAAATGTTAGCTTATAATCTGTATTATATAGTGATGAAAGGGGTTTCCTCGATGAATTTGTCTCATTGAATAAGCTTCATTTGTTCTAACTTTTTATTTTTCAGTAATCATTAGTTCACTTAAAGGCGTGAAAGTTTTGGAAGCTGAGATACGAGCCATATATATGGATAAAATAAAAATAATATATTTCTAACAATGAACCCAATGCTCAATTTATTCGAAATTATCAAATCAAACCTTGGTAATGACACCTACATATATATGGATGTTGTGACATGAAATAAATGTGACATCCCATTAGCAGTCTTAAAATGGTGATAGAACAAACTTATAACATAGAATTTTAAGGAAATTCAGTCGGAACTGGCTGATAATACCTATTTTCAAATAATCATGTTATTAAATCTATTGGTAAAATAATTTTTTCCGATGAGATCTAACAACGTATTGCTGAAATCAAGTAGATTAAATAATGTTCATCGTTATATCAGTCGACTGTATTAACTAAACTAGGTTTTGAACATTCTAAATGGCTGCTGCAATTATATATATATATATATATATATATATATATATATATATATATATATATATATATAAGTATGATTTATTCAGTAAGTATCATTAAATCCAACTAACAAATGAAAAAATAAGGAAAAATGAATTTATTTGGTACATCACTATTTATCACTTTATTTTACATAGTGACACTTTAACTGTCTCAGCAGCGTATTGGTAAACAGTTTTGTTTGTTTACGTACTTTACTTACATAGTCAATTGATTTACTGCAGGTATATACTTTTATTTTTTAATATGGTATGTAATATAGTCTTCCCACTTAACTTTGTTTAGGAAACTAATAGATCAAAACCGTTGAAGATAACTGAAGGGTTATAAATATATTTTAGATCAGTTTATCTGAGAGGCCGGATCTGTATACAACAAACTTCAAACAAATCTATTCACCAATATAAGGAAATGATAGCTTTTATAGATATTAGTGTTTTTAAATTAATTCGGAATAATCCAAACCTAGGAGTCTAAAATGTTCGGGAAGTCGAGTTGGACAAAAAGATGTTTCGACTAGTGTATTGAAAACCTGTCTTGAAGTAAGCTGGTTACTTCTGAAACACAGTGAAGATAGAAATGTTAGAAGAAATCTAATAAACCGATTTTACTCAATTGATCCCCTTCAGTTATTCTCAGTTCAGCTACAAATGTAATACCAGTTAAACATTTGCTTATCTCAGTCAGTTTTTCCGTACTGCATAAAATCTTTTGAAAATTTGATAAGACTTATGGCATTAATTTTATTAAATTATTAAACTGTTGTTTTAGTTTATATTATGTAAATGCAAGGAATACGGAGAACAATCGGATTTCATACTTTCATTGATATAGAGCTGGAAAACTGTAGATTAATAGACTACTTTCAAGAAGCTGTCAGACAAAATGTTTTGGGAAAAATGGACAATTTGCCATGTAGGTATTGGTAAATTTAGAGACATTCTTGTTGCATGATAATCGATATTTTAATGTAGTGTAAAATCACATTTCATCATAGTACATCAGTTACATCAGTCAACAGATTTCATATTTAGTTTGTTAAGTAAATTTAACATTAGCACAAATTGATATCATTTTATAAATTTTATAATAAACTCACCGGCTCCAATAATAACTACTGCCTCACAAGATTTTGAAAAATATAAATTACTCATTTCATCAGCAGATGCAATACTAATTTCATATGGTTGACCAATTTTTAAACCAAATATTTCTACAACATAATTTTCTCCCCATGGATCTAATTTGTTTAATTTAACTTCTTCGACATAAAGTTCAGATTTTCGATAATGAACAGAATTTATAAGATCTAAAACATGTACTTCAAAATGAGATGGTATACGACCATATGGTGTTCGACGCCATTTAACTTGTGCAGATGGACTACGATGTATAGCTTGAAAAAAGCATGTACTTGGTGGTTCAACTTTCACGTCGGATGTATGACATGCTTCATTTATCCAACAGTGAATTTTACGTGTTTCACTTATTGTTGTTGTTGTTATCGCTGTTGATTCTAGTGGTAACTTCTGTTCATTTTGAGGATTTTCATACTGAAAACATTTATTACTAGTTAACATGTATTGGATTAATTCCATAAATGAAATATTTTATTTAAATAATAAGTGTTTCTTTGAGAATTTTTGACGCTGTAATAGTCAGACAATATTTAAATCGAATTTCTAAGGTTTGTCATTTAAGATTAAGTCTTGTTTACTTTCAAACATAAATATAATATTCTTGGTAATTAGGGTTAAGATAAACGGCATAAATCTCCTAGTCGCAACATTAACCATGTGATCCTGCAGAAAACCTATAGTGTTTTCTGAATTAATATTGATTCCATGTAGAAGTTTGCATGAAATAGCCGTTGATGTTGTCAGGAGGTGATGATGAAAGCTTTACATCTAAATTACCTGGTTTAGAGAACTAAGTACAACCAAACAGATCCACCTGAGCTTCAAATCATCCCTATCATTACGAAAATAATTAATTTGTTGTATCTCCTTAGGAATAATCTATCAGCAGTTTTATCTACAAAATGACATTTGATAGTTATTCTAAGTAGTGTTACTGTAAATCATGAAAGTAAGCAACCACTTACTTTTAAATAAATCAGTAGTTTCCAGAATACATTTGCGTTCTATGTAATTTAGTGACATTGAGTGTTGATAATAAACACGACCCAGTACAATGATTGGGTTGGCATCCCTTTCAAATTAACAACGTGATAAAATGTTAAAAAATATAATATTTCAAGTTCAACGAAACTAATCGAACATTCCTAAAAGAACAGTATTCACCTCTTTTATGGAATTAGATTCATTTAGTAACTTTCGGATTTGGAGTTGTAATCCTGGTTCACATCTTCTACCAGCTGGTGCCCGAGTTAAATTGAGCATTAATTCCCAGGGATATTCTTCTGGTAGTTCATCAATTGTAGGAATAATTGCTGAGCACTGTTGCAATGCTGTCCATGGTCCCCAAATTTCACTGCGTTCTGAATGAATTTCCGTGGTCCGATCATCTATGCTCACAATAAAGATGGTAGAGCAAATTATTAACAGTATTTTTTGTCGGATGACACAGATATATGGTTGCCTATAACATCTACTTATATCAAAGGGTCTGTTGCATTGGTTCAGTCTATGAATAATCATGAAGATTTGAAGTCACTTTACAAGGCGCTGATTAGAAATAAAGTCACTGCAGTTTACTCGTTAGAACTAAACAATATGTACAAATCTTATTAATGGAAACGGTTTTTATTTAACACAAAGCCCTGAAGATGAACGACTGCAAACACAAACGATTACTGGTCAGCAAAATGACCCGAATAACATGAAATTACGATACACTTTTTGATACAAAACAAATATGATCAAATATCATTTAAAATATCAATGATTGTAAGGTATCAGTTTTGTTGGTCACTCATCAGATTATCAAATAGTGATCCATTAATAGGTTGACTAACTGTCCACCATATTAAGACCAATATATGGCGTATAGTAGTGAGTGAGATCTGAATGACATGTTTTCTAAAGCAACGGCGAAATTAGTTGGCTCATTTCAATGTTCTTGTAGATTGAGTCCAATTACTTTACCCCTAGACATTGTGCCCACAGTCTCCAGCCATAGACTGGTGAATGAAACAAATACCGCATAGGTTACTACTTAACGATTAATCAATGTATATTAAGAATTATAAATTAGAGACATGTTTTCCATATTAGTAGGTGCGTGTATGACAGATAATAGTCAAGATTAACATTAACTATAAAAATAATACTACTAATTTTACCTTCCAGGTTGATTTTATTTTCAGTAGTATCCGTAAAATCACATCCATTTTCTCCACATTTAGAAGAAAAGCTTTTAACATTTGATTTTGACAACGAATGGAAGGAATGATTTTTGGATGAAGCTATAATTAGAAGAAAATAAGGAGTGTGTTTTGTTTTAATAAATTCTGAAACTAGAATTCTTGACAATATTCACACCTAAAAGTAGATTATAATAAATCATTTTAAAATTTTGTAGGTTCTTTGGATGTATATGGTAAGAAGTGTGACTTTTAAAGTTCTCAACAAGCTTTCATTGTTTAGTTACATATGTCACAATTCTTATCAAGTAAGTTTCATTTTCTTAAAGATAAATCCATAGATCTTCGCTTTATTTTGTAGAGATTAGGTAATATTGCCAATGGCATATCTCACAACGTACTTTTAGATGTAGAGTTATCCAACTGGTCTAAATAAGTTCAGAGGACTAAAGACTTTTCAGTTTTGAGTGAAAAGGTTTTATTACTTAGAATTTGCTCCGATCACTATCTAAATTAGCTGAAGTACGAATTCTAGACTGCAAAGGTGCTCATACCAACTGCGTACTCCTTAACCTGATAAAAATCTTATGCTCAATAGCGATTACCTTTCATATGGATTTCCGACGTTATGTTAAGAATCTGTGGGCTCTGGAGGCTAAATGTGCTAAAGCATGAGTCAGATAGCGGTTTTGGAAACTGTCGAATGTTATTGAGAACTAGCTGATATCTGGAGTGTGAAACATTAAATTCTGATCCATTGCTTTGTAAGTTTTGTGATTATTGAGAGGGAAGGAAGTTTCGAGTTCGATCCTGAGAAAGGTTTTTTTCACGAGCTGAGGATTAAAACTTCAAACTAAAGAAATTCCACAAAGCTTCGATCTTAATGCAAGCAAACATATTTGAAATGCTTTATTCCGATTTAAGAATAAGACTTCGTTTATATTCACACAGAATTGCGTCTATAGAGTATGTTATATCGAGTGTGACGAATTCTACATGGGAGAATCTTTTCGTGAAATCTCGACTCGTTTTAGGGTGCTGTACAAAAGAACCTAGTGATCCTGTAGAGTTGAAAAATTTACAATTTGAATCTGTAATAGCAAACTATATTTAACAACCATCGAATCGATATTAAAATTATCTAAAGGTTTTTCAAACTGTACACACAAGCGAGTAGCTAAAGCGCTTCGCTTATGACCCCAATAGAAAAAAGACTTGACTATTCAACTGGGACTGATTGTCCAAACAACTAAATCTAAACCTGTTCATTTCCCCTAAAATGTACACATAAACACACAAGTTTTAATTCCACCACTTCATATTACAAATTACATATTTCAGGTACCTACCATCGTACACACAAATATACAACGTGATGTCACACAAAATCCCCTTGACCAAAAATATTCACATGACATTGATCTAATTTGATTTAGATTAAACTAAGTATTCTGCCTTATCCATTTGAACAACTTGAACTTGTAATTTCAATGTTTAAGATCATGAGTCAGTTGAAGCTAGACCACCATGGAAAACTTGTGTTAATTTAATTTGATTATTAACTTTTTACTCTGAATAAGTGCTTTAGATTAAGTTACGAAACGTCAAAAATACAAATTTCGACTCATTGAGGTGTCATGAATATATACATATATATATATATATATATATATATATATATATATATATATATATGGTTTTAATGAATCTTTACTTATACCATTCTTGGTGTTCTTACTTCACATCATGGGAATAGTGGAGGTTCCTTTGTTTTACAAGTGATTCGGACATAATAATTAGCGACGGCCAGACATAACATGGATATAGATTTATTTTACACATAATATTTATTTACTTTGAACAATGAACTATTCATGTCGATTAAGACAATATAATTATTATTATAATTATTATAACAGAAAATGATAGAAGTGTGTACTTTTAAGCGAAAATAATTATATGTATACCCGACTTCTATTTAAATTGGTGACTTCAACACTAGTGACTATCACTTGTTTCTTTTTCAAAGAATATGAACAGTGTAAAATGAAAAAAACATGTGACAATCAATATTATTTCATGTTAAAAAGGTCTATAATGTACCAAATTACCAAAAAACGAAAAACGATTACTTTTGTAGATACATTGAAGCAAATCTTGACAATGTTTAACATCAATTTGAATCAAACCTTCTTCTGAGCAAGTAGATAAATCATCAGATAAATTAACACCTTTAATCATTGCTTGTGACCATAACAATTGTTCATTGATTGATTGGAATTGACATATTCGTGTTCGAAATAATAGATTCTCAATAATTTCCGATTTATTATTATTATTATTATTATTATTATTATTATTATTATTATTATTATTATAGTGATTTGTACAATGTTTATTTTGTGTACATCTTTCCCATTCAGACCATGTTGACCATAATAAAGCAGACCATGTTGGATTCCATGCAGTTGGTGATAAACTACTGATAGAATGAAAATTTGAATCTTTTGGTAGTTGAAAGTTTAAGAGTTGTCGTAAGAGTAAATTTTCTGAAAATAAAATATAAAATAACTATAGTATTTTCATTAATAATAGACGATTTTATCTATAGAATACAGAATGAACCAATCAGATATAAGATAACGAGTCTTGGATTTTGGCACGAAATTTATTCATATATTTGGCTAGATAGCATTTTGACATTATAGCTGATATCAGTTCGTGATGAAAACCCTAAATCTAATTCCTAATCTTAACTCTCAACTGTAAATCATAATTCTAATTCTTCACATTGGTTCATAACTCTCATTTAGTCCTAGTTGATAAGTGGGCATTCCCAAGGTCACTTTAGCATCACTCAAAGGTCGTCCATAAATTGTAGTCTCACCTATTTATTGGATAAACCTATAAAAACAAATTACTGTTCGTAGCATCATATTGTAAATTATTGGATCACAAACACACTTTACATTCACTTATTTCAATAAAATGATGAATATTAAAATCTCTATTTTCTATGTCGATGCTTCATACAAAACGAATGGTTAGTACATATTCTGAAAACCTGTAAAGTGAAATTACAGAATAATAGTAACTAAATTTGAGAAGAACGTGAATACACTGGTTGATATTTTGATAGATGGATAGTATCCAAACCTCATGGTTCTGAATTTACTGTCGAAAGGTGTTAGGACTGACTAAAATTCAAAGAAAACAAACTAAATTTCTTAAAACAAATGATACATAATGTTATTTTTTAAATTTCTATTGCCCTTTCGACGGTGTTGATCTGTAAATCTGGTAAAAGGATTTATTCATTTCATAAGTCAATGAACACATTTATCAATAATGAATTCAGTGTACTGGAATAAAATTGACCAACACTTTGATTTTGCTCTAAGCATTTATGTTAGAAAAAGGGTTCGACAAAAACTGACTGATATAATTAGTCAAACGAGCTATTATAGTCTTTATTCTTTAAAATAAGCTTTTGTATTGGGAAGTTTGACTGAGCTTGCAAGTATTTAACATTTATATAATTGAGGAAAACGGTGCATAATGTACTTTGTAATTAGTGAGTAGTTCTAGTTTCCAGATAAATATTCAGATAGAGACAACTACAAAAGAATGTATTTCACTCTTCTTGGTTATACAATATATATGTATCATACTGTAATCTTTCAGGTATTCATCAGTATTACTTTGTCCACAATCACTGTTCCCGATGACTATGATGGAAAAGTTACTTGTTGATTTGTTGACGTTTATGTTTGAATATTTACTCAACACTAAATTTACTTTAATGTTAATTTCGCCCGTATGGATAATATTGTTAAAAAAGGTAAGTGTACTGTTTTTTATTATTATACACACGAATTGGTTAAATGGGAACTGAGAAATCGGACTTCAAAGTATATTCCAGAAAACGCGAAGGTCTACGGTTAAACCTCATAACTTGCGAAGAAATCAGTGATTATTTGGACTCAATAAGTTGGTGGATATGTTTAGTGGCATTTAAGGGTTAGATAGTGGGCTTGTGTCTTAGTGCAAACATAAACACTGGGATGCAGGTACGTACGGCTGATGAGACCTGACTAGGAGGAAACGCGCGTCCCAGATTACACTATTAGCATCTGTTCAAATATACTTAAACTTCGGCTCGAATTCCTCTTCATTATCAACATTAAATATTACTGTCAGAAAGCGCATCTGTGTTGTTTGTCAGCCCTGTCTATTCTGGGCAGAACTAATCAGTGTATATTCGTATATAATTTAATATTCGCATATACTTTTTCATTTTAGTTGTTGTTTTACTTCGGATTAAGAATGGAATAGTGAACAAATACTAGTTTTCCCCTTTTTTGAGAATTTTATGCCTAAAAACATTTTGTCAAGAATCGACCATTCAATCTAGGTTGAGATTTTATAATGTAAAGCCACTAGGTAATGAACTCAGAGCCGTAATCTAAACACAAATTATTTAACCGAGAGCGTAAAACCAGAAGTTACTTGTCAGACGAATGATGCACATGTAAGTTACAACACAACTAATGATATTGTACTTTAGTTCGTTAGGTTAGAATTCATGTTCTGATAAGTGATAGTTCTTAATAGTTGTAATACTTTTTAATTAATCAAAAGACCAGTATTCTTTTAGTCTGTATAGCCATCTAACCAGTCAGATGAAACAATACTTAATTATAAAATCAAGTAGCGTCATTCAGTTCAATCAGTGAAGTTTCGTGTATGAATTTAGTTATATATAAGCTCCATGCTTGGGATTATTGCTCATTAGGATTCTTCAACAAAATTTATTCCTACTGTTCAGGTCACTAGAACTGACTTCGAAATTCGGTCCTTATTCACTTTGATCTACTGTTGGCAACGTTGCTATTAAATAATTGTATATAATGAAAGACGTATAACATAATTGTCATGAAATCGCACAGAAAAGAAATCAGAAATGAGTATTTTTAAGTGAACAGAAAGGGACATTCAATGCATTTTTTTTAGATAAAAGCAATAATCTCATTACACAGTCTGTGGTGAATATATCAACTTATTTAACAAAGTAAGAAAGCTATTTTATATGCAGACAAACATACAAAAAGCTCTATTGTAATAGGAAATTTAGCCATTCTCGTCTTCTATTAGATGTCACGCTAAAATCAAAATATTAATTAACAGTTATGAAAGTATTATGTTAAATATTCTATATAATATTTCTTCTTTTTATAAGATTTAAAGTTGACTTTAACTACAAACTAGATAATATAGAAAGCTGTATCATTAATCAATTGAAATGTAATCATTGATCCTCCTTTGTGTTGTCATACTGTTTATCCACAGTGACGAAAAGGTCATAACTAAAAACTTAACAAAAAGAAATTTTGTTCCCTCAGCTGTTAAACTTAAGTTGCTTAGTTCTGTAATAACAGATTTGAACATCGATCAGTTTACATTTGAATGAACACCTAAGATTCTATTTGTGGTCTATTTAGTTTTTATTTATCAAAGGATATTCAATGTCTTATATTCACAGAAACTGATGTTTATAAAATTCATTAAAATAAATTATAATCAATAAAACCAATTTTCATATCTTCATCAATATATATAGAAATACTCACTTGAATATTCTTCTGAAGTTTCAACAGGGAATCCATCAATTTCTATTATTATATATATCAATATCACTGTCAATGTATATCCCATCCGTAGAATTTATTGAATACAACAGTCTATTATAGGTTAAAATAATTGACATATTATAAATCTTCAACAGATTTTTAACCTAATAGTTGAGATCATGAGTCAATTGAAGCTAGACCACCATGGAAAACCTGGAAGCCATTTCGTTCTATTGTGGGACTCTTCAGCGGTGCGCATCTATGATCCCGCTTATCGGGAGTCAAACCCGGGACATATCGGCATCACCCACTGACGCTTAATCTCTAGATCACTAAGTCGGTATCCAACGGTGTTAATGTCTAACTTCAACCGATCCACGAAATTAATCATTATACCTACTTGTTAAACAGTCATTTGTTGAACGTTGATTAAACACAAATTAATTGATTGAATAAGTGATAAATAAAGGATCTTAACTAATTTAATACATTTAACATACACATATTTATCTGTACACATACCTACAAATAAATCAATTAAATTTAAGCTTTATACCATTTAAATTTGTTTTAAATATATCAGTACAATTCTTGTATTGGTTGATAAATTTGAAAAGGGGACTAGTAACCAAGTGAAATATTTTAGGACACAAGGTGTTATAATTTAAAAAAAATTATGACTGATGTTAAACTAAGTTTAATACCATATTACAGTGAAAATAACTAGGAAAAACTTTTTGTAACTAATCTACACAAATACTACTTATATGTGTATACCATCCTACTAGTGTTTTTCATATTGTGAAAGGTATAAAAAAAAGATAACCTCATATAGTTGGGATAAAAAATATTCATTTTTTATTTGGCTTATATCTAAGCAGCTGATTTTTGTTTTTCTAGGTATGAAGAAGGTTATAGGGTCAGCTTAGCCTTAGAAACAAGTTAGAAGTAAATGAAAAGTTAGAAAATACTCAACAAAATTAACTTAAACATAGAATGAACATAACTGTTACCATGACAATGACAATATAGGAACCAAAACTGAGACAATTTGAATATACCTTCGAATTACAAACAAACTTATCTGGCTTCAATTGATCTACTTCCACTTATTTTAACTGATGGCATTTTCACTGTTATATAAAATCTTTAACTATACTATATGTCAATATTGTTAAATTACACACGTGTTAACTTGCTATTATGTTTATAAATAACACAATGAATGTACTTTTTTATATGAATAACTAGAAATTGAATAGTGTTAGTTTTATGTTCATTAGTGTGTTAATTAGATCAGTATCAAGCCACGGAAGGTAGCTCATTTCTCGTTTCACCTCATAGTTCAGTAATGTTACGTGTATACGTTTAGAGAAAACGCTAAAAATATTTGTTAACTCAGTGATTATTCATGTTGATTTCTTAATTGTACATCATAAAATCCTATGAGGGAAAAATCTTAAATAATTACTGTTCTGTATATCTTTAACTTGCATCTCTTCTTGTGTAGCACTGTGTTTTGTTTTATGCTACTTATTATTCATAAGTAGCTTGCTTCGTTTGACCAACTTTTAGAGTTTTCAGAATTGTCTTATCGCCTTGGTTTGATGAATTCCGTATTTTATCAATTCGCTATTTTCTTCCCGTTTATTCTTTTTCTTTCATCATAGTAGTTAAAGGTCCTGTTTCACTGGCTAATTTTATTTTAACGCTCGCTCCACATTTTTCTTAAATTTCAGGGAATATGTTTATTTCGAAACGAAGTGCATGATTTAGTATCATGAATAGCTCATATTCGTGTTAAGTTCTACTTTGTTTTAAATTGAAATTGGGAACTTCACAACAGAATAAAATAATGCTCTCGTTTCTTATTGTGCTTATTATAACGGTACTTTTGAAATGTTTTATTATACAAATCGGAATCCTTATACTGAACTTATTGCAGCAGAACTTCAATTTCGTTGGATAATTAGAGATTAAAGTTAGATGAAAAATTTTGAAGACATTATTTCTGAAGTCAAGATGAAAATCAAAATTTTCAACGTAAATGGGAAGCCTTTGGTAGAATCAGCATTCAATAGTTCGACATCCATAAATTCCTAGTGACTGAACAGGTCTGTATTATGTGACTGAGACTGAAGTAAAATGGTCAGTAGTATCTTGAGCGTTTATTTATGATTTATTATTATATACTGTGTGTAGTGACTGCTGATTTCTCTAATTTACATATGTTATGGTATTCGAATAAAAATATATCACAATCAATCAAATTATTTGTCGTGTACCTCTTATTAAATTGGGATATTACTCAGTTTTCTGAACCTCTGAAGCTCAGTCATGGAAAATGTTTAAACGATCTGACGGGGATTTACAGTGTTTTGTCAAGTGCTCCGATCGCTCCAAATGTTATATTACCAAGAAGTTATTCCAGACATTTGGCAATTAAATAAATGCAAATATGTAGACTTTATATTTGGATAGCTAGTAATAGGTAATCAGTTTATAATCTGTCAAGCAAAAACATAAAGCTGATAAGCAATAGATCTTAGTACAGAATATACAGAGAGCAACAGAATAACGTCACGATCATATAGTGTGCATAATAGAAAATACTTCTGTTCATTCCTTCAGATTTAAATGTACGTTGACTGAAAGTATTCCTCGGTGCTCATCAATGAACACTTACAATTAAAAATCAAAATGTACTGAACAGTTATGGAGGATTCATAAGCAGCTGATTTCGCTGTGTGTAACAAAACATCTTTCCTACATATTTCACCTTTCAAACGAGTGAAGATCAATTTTACGGGTTAACTTGCAAAATAGTAACTCCTATTGAATAATTTAATGGAGTAAGGTGGACAAAAAATTCACTGTATAACAAATTGACTAAAATATTCGTTTGTAGTGATTCACTTTTATCACGAGAACACGATTGGTTTATTGAAAACAATTATTATAACCAATTGTACCAGTGACTGTTTTAGTGTGCCTTTGTTTAACTGTGCTAAAAACATCCATTATTCTTACACTTTGATTGTGACTTTGCGCGAATTTGGTTACGTTCTGTAACCAAGCTTGTATCCTGGCACGATCTCGGTATCCTTTCGATACCACGAGATCGCCAGCAAATATATCTCGACTTGGTCCAATAACTGCCTTCTGATATTTGGCTTCCGGGGGATTTTATGGAGTCATTTGGCACGCGTTTCTTGGTAGCCGTGTTCATGATCAATTACGACTCGATACCACGCTACACGTTTTGTTGAGCTCAACAATGTGCATACACTGCTTTATATAAAGTCCAATACAGAGTTTATAAAACTCATGGAAACCACAATAAAGTGTTGGTTCTGAATGGAATGGTTTACATTTATCAAGCCTTGTCATTATATGTTAAATCCTAAGGATAAAAGACACTACACATAAGCTAATACCATACCTTATACATATCAGTTGTAAAACTGTTACTGAGTAATTTGAAGACAGTAGTTAAGTCACCTTTATTTCCAATGCATGATAAGTGGAACACATTCGGTTTGCTCAATCAGTTGTCATAAATTAACTTTTCTGTTTCTGAAACCAACTTGATTGTAGCGGTTTGAATCTTTCCTAACAACTATCTTTTATCAGGCGAATAAGTCCTCAAAATGAGTGGCTTCACAAATCTTCAATAACGATACTGGCATTACCTGTTTAACTGCACATACTCCTGGCTAAAATCGTTGGTTCAAGCATTCTAACCAGATCACGTTTGGGCACGCATTGTTGCACAGACACGGGGAAACAATTCATTTCGACAATGAAGTGGTCGCTTTTCCATTTTTACGACTTTGAGAGGTTTATATCACACCGATCGTTCCATATTTGAAATTCAATAGGTCGGTGGCATATTTATAACCCACTTTAACCTAATTTTACTTATGCATTTAGGTTTTAGAAAATACCAAATGATGGACAGGCATGTGCATCGCCTTTTTCAATATCTTTTAGCTAAATGGAACCTTTGTGTCGTATTGTTTAATTGCAGATATATGGCTAGTAGTACGTGGGTTTGGAAATTTTGTCGTTACGTTAAGACACTGATTCTTCTGTCCATTTATTCAACAGTACTACTACGTCACGTACTTCAAGGAGTATTTTGACTGACTTAACGGATATTTCTTGAAAAGCAGTTTTATACCAAACGTTCTCGACATGTGATGAATTCGAGAACAACTTAAAAGTACTCTAACGCCTAATAATAATATAGTTCTAATTAATGCAGATATCATGTGCTCACTACAGTCATCTAAAAAATAAAGATTCACTTACTGAGCAATGTAAATATTTTTTTATTGTCTCAAAATGCACGTTCGGCATGGAAATAAACCACGAGGAGTCTGTATTGTTGGTAAGGTTGTAGATTTCCAAAGCAGGTGATTTTTGTCAATGACTAGTAGGCTTACTCGAGTTTGACGAGAATGGCGTAACCACTTAACTGATGACGATGTCATACCTCATGTTTAACACCTAGTACGGATTGCCCTTTCATCTTGTCCGGGTACTAGGACTACTTCGATAACCATACAACATAAACAACATTATTAAAAAAGTATATCAGTAAGAGTAGGTACAGGAAACAGAATGCGACCATCGCCATATTCACCAGTCCATGGCGTGCAACTGATTGTCTTTGAATTTAATGAGGACCGAAAAAATGTTCGATATTCAGTGACCTGACTACTGAATGCTTTGGCTATGGCTCATTGACATTTCACCGGCCCTACAACACTCCCCAACAGATTCACTAGCCGTTCAAATGGTACTAAGTACGTCGAGAGTAGTTATTTCCATGCGTGACGACGTGGGTTTATGTTTCATAGTTGTTCGTCGTTGTTTCATATAGACGTAAATAATGGGAAGTATAGCCACAAGCACCACATCATTTTCCTTTAAGTTTCTGTGTGTGCAAAACCATTTTTTTATCGCTTGAAGTAACGGAATGCACTTCTTTATCCATCGGCCCCAGAAGGTATTAGTTAGACAATTTACTTGGCCCCATCGTTTCGAATACTAGAATACTGCACTTTATCCCTAAACCATCCAAATCTCTTAGTAGTAGCAGGGTGTTTAGTGTGAGCACCAAGTCATCCTTTTCATGTGATGTGAACGGGGATGATGTGACGATTGGTTAAAAATTTTTCCATCTCCACAAAGTAGGTTGCTGAACTATCATCATGTAAGATGTGTTCGTTGAAAATGGACGGCAAGATCCTTCGAACAGAGTGTATCAGTCTCTCCCAAACTCCAACTCTATGACTAGCTAGTAGGGATTGAATTACCAGCATATAACCTTGAATGTTGTGGTCATTTATCCTATGCTTGTCCCATACACTTATATCAGTCTGCAATTCAGAAGTTGCTGGACAAAGTTAGTTACGTTGTCACTGTAGATTTATTTTGGAATCACTCTCCTTCCTATGTAACGTATTAAAGCCATTATGAAATCATTTGTAATCTAATTGAAAGCTACTTCTAGGTGTACGGCACGCGTTTCGGGACTCGTAAATATGAGTCCACACCTCTTTTCCTCGCTTCCTTCCCGACGAACCATCAACGGGCTAAAATAGTCGATTCCCACTGAGGAAAAGGAGAATCGATCTTGCTGAACTCGACACTCAGAAAGGGGTATCATCATTTGCTGGCACAATGTAGCTTTCATACGCACACTTCACGCAGTTACCTATCGTTCGTCTAAAATCACTGAATTCCCAAACAACCCAATGATTTCTGTGTATGATAGCTAATACGTGTGATGTCTCAGTGTGGCTTTGTCTGTGGTGGCAGAGTCGGATAATCAGTTTTGTTACACACTGATGACCGAGTACGATCACGGGATGTTTGAGTGAGAGCAGATAATTCGAGTAGTTTAACCTTCCACAAACACAAAGTAGTCCTTTGTCAAACGTAGAGGACAGATTTTGTAACTTTTTTTGCCACACCTTCGCAGTTGTAATAAAGTTGTTTCACAGCATTCTCATATATATCCTTTTGCCCTAAGACAAATGGACTGCGTTTAGCTGTATTTATTCCATCAACTGTCTGACAGCCCATACTTGGAGACCTGTCTTTTTGACGAGTGCAGATGGTGATCGTATAAGTCACATATATCCTGAGCCACCCTACCGCTTTATTCAGCTTAAACAATTCGACTGGTATGACAGAACTGGACTTGAGTTATGTTTTACTGTGCCTGTGTTCGTTGTGTGAGCTCTTTTAAATTCAACGTTTTTTGAATGAGCTTCGATATTTTTATAAACTTCCTATGCCTTAGGAATTAATGGCCTTCAATCCAGATTTTTAAGTCTAATCCATTCTGTATGTCTTGTGACATCCAGCCCGCAGGATTTTCCTTGGATCCAACATGTTCCCACAACACATAAGCGTTAACCGATGAACAACAGTCAGGCGACTAGCTATTAAGTTGGAATATCTGCTCTTCATATTCCCCACGTAGTACAGAACTATCATATAATCCGTCCTAAAATGAGTCTTACAAAACGTGCGTGGAAGACTTTTATTTAAAACTTCACCCATTCGGACACTCAATACTGTCCCTGTTAGCTATAATCTAGGAACAATTGCCGGTTTTATAGGAATGACTATGGCCCTACCATAGAGCAAAATGCCGTACGGGTTTTGTGCCTAGGGATATTCCGCGAGTAGGCTACCGCACCGCAACCTGTTTCAGAGGCATCAGAAAGCAAATAAAACTCTGTCATTCCGAAGTCCTCTCTATTCTTATTTTTTATATTTTAGGGAACGTTGATTGTCCCAATCTTACGCACAAACGTAACCCGACCGTTTCACGAGTATAAAAAACTGGCAATTAGCAGCTGGTCTCAACCAATATGTGACTTACAAAATGTCTGTGAGAGCTGCTTGGTAGGAAGGTATATTGGAGCAGTTAGGCCTAGTGGATAAAAAGAATGGAAAAGTGGATGATATTTCCATCCTAATTAGGTTTTTTTCTCTAGGTCGAATTGATATTCTATAACGACATCTACGGTGTCCCATTCGGTCCTAAGGGTTCGATGAGTGGACCCTTGGTTCAAGGTCATAACAATTACCGTTACCATACCATCCGTTTTCGAAAAATTCGTCTACCGGTTCTTACGTAGTTATCCATTTTTTCACCCTAAAACCTCATTGAGCCATCAATTCGTTAAATTGTGCTATAAATTATTTTGCATCATCCTTTTTGGGATAGTATTCTGGTTAATCGTCCACACAAAAGTTGTGTAGTACGGAATCCATTAGAAAACGTTTGGGCTGTCTTCATCAATGCAAAATATACACAGAAGTGTGAGGTTATTACTCCGAAGGGGTGTGATGTCCTCTTATATTCCACAGGTTCTTTTGCGAGATCAGCCTCTGGCCATTATAGGAAAAGTAGTGTTCTACACTTGACCTTCGAGACTTTAAGTTGCATGAAAATTTCTCTTGCATCTGCAGAAACGGCAACCGGTTCCTTGTGGAAACGTCACAGGATACCAACTAAGTTTACTGTTGTATCTTGACTTTGATAGAGGTCATGACCTGAAAAAAGAATATTCAAAGGTATGCCTGATACAGGCGTTTAGGTGAATACACTCATTATTTGTGACCGAAAGATAATCACAACATAGTTTTCCTTCATTTTTGTTTTTAAGGTAGTATTCGAATAACATTATCTGGGCCGTAGTACTGATAATTGAACGACCTTACAAATCTTCTGGGTCGTTTATTTATTGACCTTCACTTGCATGAATGATTAGTGTTCGTGAATTGCTGAAACTTAGAGGCAGCAACAGACGATTGTGGACTTTAAGTTGGAATCATAAAGGATCTGTCTTGGTTTCCGGTGGGGAAGACAGAATAATCAAGTCATGGGCTAAATGTGACGATGAATCATGGCTTAACAGTTTCTCTCTCCCTGAGGCACACAAAAGATCAATTAGATGCATAACATGGTCGCCATGTGGTAACTACATAGCCTCAGCGAGTTTTGATGGAACAGTAGCCATTTGGAAAGTTTTCAAAGAGGCTTCAGGGCACGAAATGGAGGCGCTTGTGACCTTAGAAGGTACGTTTTGACACAATACATTAAATTAAAACCATTTCGTCGTGTCACATATAACAACTTAAATAAAGTTGGCCATGCTTGTTTGTTAGTTTGGTCTAATACACAATATGGTTTTACGAGACTTATTCGGTCTTCTTTAGATTTACTTGCACTTGTGACATAAATTTGTTTCTGAATTTCAGGTGGACCTTGGTAATTTTTTTAGTTATTAATAGTTTACAATGCAGCAAAATAGCCTTGCTATTAAACAAGATGGATTAATTTCTTAACACGAAGTAGTATTTAAACCGCTGCTTTTATTTATCATAAGAATCTGGTTAATATACCTTGCTTAAATCATTCCTCTTCATACAATGGAAAACAAACCTGTCTAATTTGGTAGCTTCCGTGAATTTCATTTTGATATATACAGTTTGGGATTGTCTATTGAGGAAGGGTGTTCCTGAGAAGTTCATTAACATCCTAAAGGCCCTATATACAAACACCTCAGGCAGAGTGAGGGCATACAACCACCTCTCTCCATTGTTCCATTCGAGTAGTGGGGTTAGGCAGGGTTGCCCAATCTCACCATTCCTCTTCAACTTTGCCATCGATAACATTCTGGAAACAGCTCTGATGGATGTAAGTAATGGCTGTGTGAATCTGTTACCTGGAGAAAGACTTCTCGACCTTGAGTATGCGGATGATATTGTCATACTATGCGATAATGCTCAAGCCATGCAATCCGCACTTAATCAGTTGGCAATCAGTGTCCGTAGGTATGGTATGTGCTTTGCACCTTCGGAGTGCAAAGTACTTCTACAAGACTGGCAGGATTCTAATCCTGTACTCACCCTGGATGGTGAGCAGAAAGACGTAATCGAGAAGTTCTTGTATCTGGGTAGCTGCATAAGTGCTGGTGGGGGTGTGAGTGATGAGATCAATGCACGTATAGTGAAAGCCAGAGTGGCTTATGCCAATCTGGGCCATCTTTGGCGCCTTCGTGATGTTAGTCTGGCTGTAAAAGGTCGGATCTACAACGCGTCGGTGAGAGCAGTTTTGTTCTATGCTTGTGAAACCTGGCCTTTCCGATTTGAGGATGTTAGACGACTCTCTGTGTTTGACCATCGTTGTCTCCGAAGGATTGCTGACATCCAGTTAGTAATGCAGAGGTTTGGCATTGTGTGTTCGGGCGCAGAGACGATAATACAATTGGTGTCACCATCTTGAAACACCGACCTCAGTGGCTTGGACATGTTCTACGAATGTCGTCTCAGAGGGTTCCACGTCGTGCATTATTTGCAGACACCGGGACTGGTTGGAAAAAGCGGATATGTGGTCAGTGTATGACATGGTGTCGTGGTATGAAAGAAGGCTGCAAAGGGCTGGCTTCTGTTGGTTCTTCACGACGCCCTGGCTGAAGTCCGAGAGATGGTGCGACACAGTGGATAGAGACGTTATCAGATATGGCTCAGAATAGAAGCCAGTGACGATCCTGCTGTAACCTTCTGAAAAGTGGTCGTAGCTTCTTTAACTGAAAAATTTCTGCTTGTATCTTTCTGTTTCTTCCATTATTATTATTGTCATTATTATTGTCATTATCATTATTATTATTTCACTACCAAACACCAATTTGTGGTCGTTATTGTTCTTTTTTTCTTTTTATACGCACCTTACATTCTTTATCTCTTCCCATTTTCATTGTCATTGTGTGGCGCATATATATCCGGTGCCTCCTTGTACCAATATCTACTTGTTCAAATAAATAATTAAATGAATGGTGTGTACGAAAGATTCACGTAAATGAGTTAGAAAACCCTGATTCCAAAGCAATGGTGCACATGAACTCGAGGATCTTGAGGCAACAAGTGTGTAAACCTGTTGTTGGTCACCGGCAACCACTGACTGCACCTCCTTATGTTGCTCCACTGCCTTGTGGATTAGACCTTTAGGTCAAAGGCTCGGGGCGTACCTTCCTGAGAAAACCGCTTGCTTCGTTTCCGCACCTGGGAAGTATCTCATCCTTCACACAAATCGGTTGATTTTTGTGGATGGCTAAATTTGCGCTGATTTGTTCGTAAACCATCCTCTTTGAATCCAGATTGTTTTCTCACCTGACTTGTGGAGCTCACATTTTCTTTGCCGTAAACTTTCTCACTAATGCTTACTTTTCAAATCTGAGACGAACAAAGTACGTAGCTTTTTATGAGCTAAGCATAGGGAAATATTTTTTTCGATTGGTAGTGTATCGGTGAGTTATTATGTAGCTTTAATACTTTATTATAAGTAGTCTATCAATTTCACACTAATGCAAACTACTTTTTGTTGTTTTTCTCTCTCTGATATTAGGGCATACTAGCGAAGTCAAGTGTGTTGCTTGGTGCCCATCCGGTCATCTGATAGCCACTTGCGGTCGAGATAAAAGTGTCTGGTTGTGGGAATTTGATGACGAAGAGGATGTTCAGTGTGTAAGCGTTCTGCAGCCCCATTCACAGGATGTGAAATCAGTAGCCTGGCATCCAGACGGTGAGGTGAGTACGCTTGGTAAGTATTTTTCATGTTAAAATGCTGCCAATAATGGTTGGGTGCAGGTTGATTTTCGTTCACGTTGTGGATCCATTGTTCACGTCTTCACTGCCAGTCTATATATATATATATATATATATCTGTGCTGCTTAATAATAAGCTGTAGTTGATGGCTCGTATTGTCTTCTGGAATTTATACATCGTGGGGATTTATTTAGTAACGATTATCAGAACGGCTGATATACGAAGCCTCAGGAGTCATCTCAAAGACAGTTCACTACATGCTAAATGAGTGAACACCGTTACACTTACTTCTGGGTATCAGTCGTAGTTTTTGATACCAGTTTAAGAGCCTAAAATTAAGCCTTCTATATGTTTTACTAGGCTTTACAACTAGTAATGGCTAAATACAAAAAGATTTTATTTATAGTTCAAATTAAAATGCGCCCCCGAATGCCCTGGTACGGCCGAGAGTGGGGAGAGTCCGCTCTCCCTCTCGAAATGCTCTCACATGGCCACGCGTATACAGCCTCTGCCAGGGAAGTCCTACTCACTGCCTTCTCGTGACGGGGGTGTTGCTCACGAAAATGAGAGGACGAAAAGCGAATGTCCGGCGCTTTAAGCGGATTCCAAACCAATGGTGCATATGGGCTCCAGTATCTTGCGGGAACAAATGGCGTATGAACCAATTGTTGGTCACCGGCTACCATGGGACTGCATCTCCTTACGATGCTCCACTGCCTTGTGGATCAGACCTTCAGGTCGAAGGCTCGGGGTGTGGCCCCCTAAGAAAACCACCTGCTTCGGTCTGGGCACCCGGGCAGTATCACAGCCCTCACACATATCGAATGAGATTTGTGTGGCGCATATGTATTTGGTGTCTCTTTGTACCAATATCTATGTGTTGAAATAAATAAATAAATAAAAATGCAATATTGGCATAACATAAAATCCACTGATTATTGAAGTTATTTGCTGTTTTCATATCATTCATATATGAGAGTTGGATTGAGACGATTACTAATAAGCACTATAAATACAATGGTTTTTCATAGTTTAAAATCTTAAACCTGGTAATTGTCAGACACAGACAGATCAGTGTCTAGGAGTTGCCACTTAAATTGGTTAGTCTTTTTAGGACTATAGGTAAAACAATGGCTTTTTCCTCAAGTGATGGAAAAGCTTCTTAGTCTGGTATTCGTTTTCAAACAATACGTCGTCTTTTCTTGCTAAAACGTTCCGTCATCATAAAAATACCTTGGGACTCCAATAGTTGACGAAACTAATTTTTACTACTAATTTGCACAAGGTTGTCACTGTTTTTGTACGTTTAATAGTGTTGGAATTTGTAACAACAGCTGTGTGCTAACTAGCAGGAAATGTAGGCTGGCTTACCACCAACCACCTAACACCAAAACACAGTGTGCGCGATACCGAATTACTCAGACTACACTACCTGACGGGGTGGTCGGGCTTGCTTAATGTGATGAATCAATTAGGCTGTACTAACCAGGACAATCGTCCGTCAAGGTCTTACCATGTCAGGTCAGTTGAAGAGCGGTAAGATCAAAAGTAGCGAACCCAAAGTTCAAGGGCGAAGTTGTACTGCTGATTGTACAGAGGTGTGGCGGGAGTAAGGTGTTTTACTCAGACAACCAGCATAATAGCAATGCTGCTTTTCCACAAAGGAAGTGTGGGGTTAGAAAAGGCCGACCTTAAAAATGCGCACCGTCTTGTCTCACGGATATCCGTCTCCGACAGTAAGGCCTCAACAAGTACGAAGCTAACACAAAGCTTACCCATAAAAAACTCATATGTGACCGGCCTCAAGAAGTTGTCCCTTCAACACTGCGGTTACGCTCTCAGGTCAATAAGACCAAAGTTAGCCTCATTTCCTGTCCAGGTACCTCTAGAAGAACTCTTCCACGGTGTAGATAACCGGGAAGTGATAACCGCCTTCATCCTTCTAACAGCACTCGAGACCACTATATTCATAATCAATTTCCCTCTAAAAGCGGCTAAATTGCCACTTAGTCTGTAGAATCTGATCAGCTCCAAGAACCAGACAGGTGTGAAATTAGTCACTATTGATTATTCGGTCAAATTCAGGTTTGTCTATTTAGTTTTGCCATGTTCGAGTTAACTTCTTTTTTCCGTCATTCGTGTTTTATATAGGTTCTTGTTTCTACAAGTTATGACAATAAGATAAATGTGTATAAAGAGGAACTTGATGATTGGGCTGTTTTTATTCAGCTAAGTAAGTGATGAGTATCCTAATTTATGTGATCAATTTTCCTTTTAAACTGGTAACATTTTATTTAATCTTCAGAGCTACTTCCGTATTTAATGAAATAATTTTAAGTACTAATGAGTAGTTTATATTTCTACACTAAATATTTGACGACTCATGCTAATGCTATACATCACCTTTTTGGATCATGCAATATTAAATAAACGGATTTAGTCAAATTACCATCTAGGTGTTTTATTTAACGCTTCGTTTAATTGGATACCTTTTATCTGAAATTTGAAAGACTTGTTTTTTGTTTTTGTGAATCAGTTCATTTTATTAATTTATAACATGTCATGGCGTCAAGAGTTCACTGATATCAAACTAACTCTTTCCTCATGTTAATCAAGATACTTGTTTCAATGAAATTTCCTAGAAAGTGTAATGTACGGTGCACCTTTTCATTTTATTTAGGAGTATGCTATTTTTACTGTTATCCTTTGAAGTGAATATGCTCTGAATGTAGGATCTTAATTTAGTTGAAGCAGTTCCTTTAGCTTAACTGAACTACTCAAAGGATTAAATGTAAGCTGTTAGGCAGCGTTTAGAGACGGAACTTGTTTTAAAATGAGTGGGAAAACTTCAGTCGAAAATTCGTTAAGTCTAAAGTATAGGTCAGGAAAAAGTTAAATTGATTTATTGCTTTACAGTGATTTTTGCAAGTTATGGCTCTTATGAGATAGTGAGTGACTATCCAGTATGTCTTCTTGAATTATACACATTCTGTTTCCTCTAGCAACTCGATTATAACATTATATCCAGGGATTTGAAGTCATATTTTGTTAAATTTCCGTCAGATGACTAGTACCTGTACAAATAAATACATAACCATCGTGTGAATGAATTTAATTTACGTGTAGAATGTAAAGATGTGCAGTTCACTCTTTCAAAATAAAACTTAAGACTACAAAATGATGAGACTAAGTATGAATGTTTGTCTTCTCTACTTTGATTGGCTAGTGATTATTGACCATAACCGGTTGCCCAAACCTAGTTAGGCAAGGCAGAGTTTCAATCTACTGTCTACTAGTTGGAAGTCAGATGTCATAATCACTAAGACACCGCCTCACGTTGTTAATGAAAACAAGCTTTAAGTCGATATAAACTAAGTTGAAGTCGTCAGTTATGTTGTATGTTGAATAAATTACTCAAATCACCCTTCAGTTGTACTTTTAATTATCATGTTGATGATATTTTAAGCAGAGATGAATAGTAGCTAGCACTGGAATGTGGTACACTCGTTTCCTCCTGTTTGATAATAGTTGGAATGGGAAGTCTAAAATACACATTTAGTAGGACGTGGGGAGTATGGACTTCGAGATTTTCACACATTGCTAAGATGATAGATCTTAAACCGCTTTTCTTCAACACAGAAATTGGTTTGAATTCACCTTATGATACATAGTAGCTATTAGTTAATATAAATCGATAAACATGTACAGGTTGTTGTATTGCCTGGTAACTGGAATTTCAATAAGTGGGACAGGTTTTGAAACTGTAACCGAATATCTGGAAGCCAAGTGCTTCACCTACTAAGCGATATTTATAAGATCACTAACATTACGGTGTTATCCTCTGTATCAGTACTTGTCTACTTTTAACTTTGAATCACAGCTTTCTCATTACGAATGAGTGTGCAAGTAATATTAACTCTAAACATTGATTTTTTTGCATGAAAGGTAAACTACTGGGTGATTTTATTGTTAATTTACCTATCTGGGGTATATGTTGTCTGTGTCAACTGGTGTGTGTTACTTGAACCAATTTCCTGGATAGTCTTAGTTCTTAGAAGTAGATACTTATATAGCATTATGAAATAGTAACATTGATTGTAACCTCTGTTTGTTTATTCCGTATAAATGTTACACATGCCCCATGCATTAAAAATTAATTAGCCAGTAATCTTTGCGTTTATTTTTCCCGAGTATGTTATTCTATTTATTTGTTTCAACTTCCTTAGCTGGACATGACTCCACTGTGTGGAAAGCAGAGTTTTCTCCATCTGGAGATATTTTAGCGAGCTGTAGTGATGATCGATGTATTAAACTTTGGGGATGGGAAGGTGAGTTTTATAAATGTATCTTTTATTTTAAATACAAATTTCCAAATAACTTGTGACATGGCTCAAAATCTATCACAATGGTGTCTTTCCTTAAACCTTGAGATTAAAATTACTTTACACCTTTCTTTCCATGAACCAATTCTTTCTCCTTGTATCATATTCTTACATATTATCTTTATTTATATATATTACTACCATTGAAGTAACTACTATGAATTTGGTGTTGATCTTATTGTACTAATGAGGTACGGCAACTTGAACCGATTCATATGTGCCTGATTTTACGTAGTGGATGACTGACTGACTGACTAAAAACAAACAACACATTGTTGAGGGAGAGAGGGTTATTTTTGCTCTCTTTTAGAACAACTTGATTGGTATACAAAGTTCAGCGCGGTTGTACTCACCTCTGTAAGAATTTGGGACTTGGAAATAACTTCTGGAGACAAATAATCACATTCTAGCCCATCAAATTTGTCGTTGCAAAGATTCTCAGAGGTTGTTTGCTTTATCGATGTTCTCGTCTGTCATGATTCGTCTATCGATCAGCATTTCATTCTTCATTTAACAAAAACCTTAATATCTATCATAAAAAAAACTAGTCAATGATCGAAAATCTACTTAACATGTTAATCGACGTACAAGTGTTCACTAAATAAGCGAAGTTTGGTTATAAATACTCTCTCCATTTGAACAATGTTAAAGTAAGAACAATTACACAGTAGGTAAATTAGTGTTATTTGATTTTCTGCTAGGGATATTCAACGTCCTGGTAGGATAAATTAAACTTACTGGGGGCCTAACTTGAAGAGTAGATAGACAAACAAACATTATCTGCATAGAGTGCGAGATTGATGTAAGTTGGTCCAGGTTTCTATATTACATTAACACGATGAAATAGAAATAACAAGACAATTAGCAAAAAATACCGGGAGTAACGTAGCAGCAATGACAATAAGACTAAACTTTAGAAATGTGTTTCGAAAAGACTGAATGGAAATATGTATCTCGTGGATTACTGGAATTTAAGATCGAGAGGGAAACAAAGAGTGAATCCATCTAATCCATTGCGAACTATCTTCGGTCATGCCACCCAGAGTCCCAAACCACTGACCAAGGTTATCATGTGGACTCCAATCATGTAGTCTGCATCTACCAACATAACTGAAACCAACAGTCAATGAATTCTTGGACTGTTCTCATATCTTGATTTGATTGCTACTAGTTTTCTTCCAAATTAATTGTGCACCATTAAGCACCACTTATCCACGTAAGCCATTGTTGGGCATATGTAATACATTTCCGAACCACCTCAGTCTATGAAGATGCACTGCCTTATCAATCGATTTGCCATTCCTACCTGGTACCGCGTGTCTAGATTCAACACAACCCGTTTGATGGTCCTGGAATTCACTAGCAATACTTCGATGGTATCTCTGATCTAATATCAGTGCCTTGTGAATATTCTGTTTTTCAGTGTTACATTTCACAGTCATAAACTGATCGAACAGTTGTTCAGTGAACTGGTTGTTTGTTTGGTGAACGAACATCTCGTCTACAACACATGCGCTACAAGTTCACAAAAAGCAAGCAAGCTTATCGAGTCCATGCCGTGATTTTTCAGACACCAAGACAAGTGGTGTGATCGATACACTCAATCACTTTACGTCGACGCAGATCATTTCTCTTCTATATAGAGAGTTAAGCATCTTAATCATGTTAGCACTGTTGTTTAAAGTGGTAATGCGATTGCATTTTTTCAGCGTATTTGCCACACAGAACGATGCCATCTACATATTTTAAGTCAACAAGAAAGCTTCGTGGTAGGAAAATTTCTAAAAAGTGAAACGAAAAATAATAATAGAATTAAATAAAAATGCAGAAAGCGTATAATCTTGACGAACATTACTCGAAGTTAACTGTTTCGATGACAGTTAGCCATAAGTCGTGGTCGCACTAGTAGTGTTCGATTATTGAGGCCATATTAGGTTAGTATACTTCCTTGGTATAATTTAAAAATAATAAATCGTATCATAATTGTTTATAGTCAAAATAAAGCTTATAATAAGAGGAATATAGATATACATAATCTGGTTATTGAATAGCTATAGAATAAGAAAATATGTATAATATTTGTCCATAAATAGTTCTCAGTAGTTACCCCTAATTTAATCTTCACTAGGATATAATTATATATATACTTATAAATTTACTATTTACGGATGAAAAAATAAAGAAACAGTGTTTACACATTTCTATTTCTACTGTCACATCTACAGCAGTGACAAACCGGGGTGAGAGAAGTAAAAACATAGTCAATTATGGCGAACTGCAGGAAAAAATAGTAACCTTTCATTTATTGAATATAAACTTGCTATTTTTTGTTGGAGGTCTTTTATGACATACGATGTTTATATTGTGCAACACTATATATATCACCTTAAGTTGTAAGGAAGAACGGGAAAACATGAAGGATTTATTTCAGTCTCTACATACAATAAATTTAAGAAAAAAAGATCAAGCGACGGGACTACACAACGACAACTACGCTCATTTTTAGCCAGTCGTAATATATAATTTTATGAAGCAAAAAACACAAAATAAAAGTAAAAATGTTGAACTATAAAGGAAGAGTGAATAAGAAGAAAAAACTTGGAATAAGAAAAATGCATAAGCACTCTATTTCTCTCGTCGTAGGCGTGATAGATGATTTATAAGTGAATTTAATTGAATGAATTTACACAAAGATAATATGACAAGTGTGAAAAAAATGCACATAAGTAGAGATAACAAAGTCTCTGTCAAGATAACTAAATATTAGCACACATTACTCGTAGAACTGCAAGTAACTGAACATGAAAGTTTAAATGATTTTTTTACCCCAAAATTAACATTAGAAAATTAGTAATGACAACTGTGGTGCTGTGATAAACCACCTTTTACGCGAGTTATGCTATGTAACATTTGGATATTTTCATGATTAAATTGGGAGTTAAATCTAATTGCGTAACACTATTGAAATTTATTGAGCAGGCTATTTGGTTGTGATAAGTAAAGCAACAAATCAGCTTTTCAGATCTTTCGTAAGAATTTTCGGCAACATAAGAAAGAAATTAAGTTCAACTCCTCATATACCTTCACATTTGTATTTAGTGGATACTTATCTAACGTTAGACGTGTTATAATATGCCTTACCAAACTCTCTCCCATTCTGTTAGTTGTATGGCGTGCATAGTCCTCTTTCAGGTTTTGGAACAGTGCAAACTGAAAATTATAAATTCTATACGTATAAATTGTTTTGAGTAAAAATGTTACCATTAAGATTCTTAGTCAGAAAGCACTTAAAACCTATAATCCAGATAGTCAGCAGTGTGAATCTCATCCACAAAGTCAATCATTAAATTAGGATGTCATTGAGAAGCACTATTGACTAATTGGGTATAAGTGTAGTTTTCTTATTTTTGATTAGATGTACAAAAGTACATTTTCACTCACTTCTTAGCTCATACAATGCTAGTTAGATATAGCTTTCCTAGAATAAAAAACGTACCTTGATATCTATACTTTCAAAATAAAGTTAATCGTATACAACTGTCCAAGCGATAAGTGTATTCGTTTTTCAACGCTTTGTTGCTATTTGTCAACGTGTGACGCATGTGTTGTAGATGAGATGTTCGTTCACCAAACAAACAACCAGTTCACTGAACAACTGTTCGATCAGTTTATGACTGTGAAATGTAACACTGAAAAACAGAATATTCACAAGGCACTGATATTAGATCAGAGATACCATCGAAGTATTGCTAGTGAATTCCAGGACCATCAAACGGGTTGTGTTGAATCTAGACACGCGGTACCAGGTATAAATGGCAAATCGATTGATAAGGCAGTGCATCTTCATGGACTGAGGTGGTTCGGAAATGTATTACATATGCCCAACAATGGCTTACGTGAATAAGTGATGCTTAATGGTGCACAATTAATTTGGAAGAAAACTAGTAGCAATCGAATCAAGATATGAGAACAGTCCAAGAATTCATTGACTGTTGGTTTCAGTTATGTTGGTAGATGCAGACTACATGATTGGAGTCCACATGATAACCTTGGTCAGTGGTTTGGGACTCTGGGTGGCATGACCAAAGATAGTTCGCAATGATGCAGTTGTATTCACTGTCATCCCTTAAATGTTATTTACGAACTCGTCTTCTCTCAGATCACTTGTTAATACTTAAGCTTTATGATTATTACTAATATTGATACTACTTCTTTTATCCCATGATTTATATGTCTCTGTGCTGTTGTGTTGTTTCTGTTTGAACCGATACACATATGTGCCAGACTTTATGTTGCGTTTGATTGGCTGTTCAAATAATTACTTGACAGATAACATTCTTGCTCAACTATAAATGTTAAGGTTTTGTAGGATCTACTTTCATTTTTATTCAGTTCGTTTATTTGTATCTGGTAACCAATCATAATATTAACATTATTTGACTTATTACTGCTAATATTTTACTTGTTTTTTTTCTTTCTGTTTACGTCATAAATCGTGCTTTAATTTATATTCCCAAGATTGTTTAATTGTACAAAAATTTTCCAGCAATGTATTTTAGTGGGAAATCGGTTTTCTCTATAAAATATTCAGTTTAGAAAAGTTTGTCATTGTGATTTTCATCAACTTTGAATGTATATTTCTATGTTGAAACTTTTTAAAAATGTACAGTTCTCAAAATATTTGTAAAACAATAAAGAACAGTCTACTGTTGTGTGTGTATTAGCGAACTATTAGGAAGTTTGTTGTGAATAGAGTAAACTTTATTTCATTTTCTCTTCTCAACACTTTCATTTCTAGTCACAGATGTACTTTTAGAGGTTTTTAAATGGTAATATAAATTAGCTTGTAAAGTTAGTATAAGTAAATTGTATAATCATATTTTTAAAGTTTATACTATTCAAACATACTATCCAGTGTTTTTATATTTCGATTTTATGAATCTATTATCTACCTTCATACATATGTTTCCCTTATGTGACTAGCTTTGTGGATACGGTTTCGATGAATTGTCTCTGGTTGATTGTATATGTGTTACATAATCAGATAATAATGTAATTATTAATTACCTTTTAGGAGCTTGCAGTAAATCAACTTCGTGGGTGTGTATTGCTACATTAACTGGTTATCACATACGTACAATTTTCGATTTAAACTGGTAAGTATCATTTTTACTCTTATATGTCTATAATTAGATGACTTTGTAATGAATACTTGACATACCACGTACATTCTTTGGTTCAGTTAGTAACACCAAGTTATATCGTGTAAACGATAACTGAAACGTAAAGTGTTTTCGGTTTAAATTCGTTTGACAAATTCCAGTATAGTTTAGAGTTCATTTCCAGAGTGTGTGATGCAAATACAATACATTTTACTCTAGTGAGTTTTGTTTTAGTGATAGCATTTGGTGTTTAAGGAAACTCGAAAATTTGTCATACTGGGATTTCAGTGTCATACTGAATATTCACTTTTGAAAACATGTATAGTTTATTGAGACTTTACAACTGATATTGATTCGTTTCTTATGTTTTAGGGCAAAACCACTCCTACATCTAAAATTAATGTATTCTGTGGTAGTCTATTCAGTTAAATCATCTACAACAGTCCTTAAATGTTTTGATCTGACTGATATCCAAGGTGAAAAGACATCAACATCTAGGTAGTTTTAATGCCAGGCTGAATAATCAGTTCACAGCTGTTGTGTATGTTACAGATTTAACCAAAGATATGCGGACAGTGTCCATAGTTAGGTGAATAAGGCACGTACACCACTGGCCTATGTGATTTATACCTCTGACCCCTTTGATAGCCTTACAACTTATGATTTGATTATTTTTCACAGAAAGTTTCTTCTGTGACGAGAACTTTCAGTCACTAAGTCACAGGTTCAAAGCTTGCTCTACTTAATTTGGCTTGGGCGACTAGGTAGTATCATTAATTCTCATTTAGAGTATGACTCTTACCCAAGTACCCGGTGAATGAGTTAATCTTACTCTATGTAGAGAACATCAAATATCTTGTAATGTATGAGACTATTAGTCTCTTCATTGTATTGGAAGTTTATTCTTTCAGTCAAACAAAATTATTCTTTGCCTACACTGACTGTTTTCATTTTCAGTTACGAGTATTAACACTCGTCTCCATCACATGTATTTTGAGTTTCTTAAGTTCACCATTGGCTTGAGTAATTGTTTGACAATGTATTATGGGGAATTTTCTTCTGACAGATGTCTGATTTCCATTTTGCATTATGATTAAGGCTTTCACTTCCTATTTGATCTAATCCTCTTAATCATGTTTATTCAATGCTCAGTGTTATCGCAGATTTAAGTTGGAATTTCATAAGGAAAAAGTATATTGTACCTGGGGATGAATTCTGAGAATTTTACCAATTAATCTTTACTGATGTAACTGGATAGTTACTACGCAAATCATCACATAAAACTAAGGGTCAGTAAGATAGATAGTCAAAAACTGGTAGTCCGATGTCTGTAAGAGACGAAAATATTTTGTTAACATTAAAGTTAATTCAACTTTACTTACGTAGATACGGTCAATCAATGTGTCTAGCCGACGTTTGGATGCAAAATAAGATTAAACTCTAAACTTTGGCGATTTTTAGTTTATACGTGTATAACTTCTGTGTTTGATTTTTTGAGTCTATTAACGATATTTTTCTCACACTATATATGTGGTGCTTTTCTCTCAACTGTTTGATAGGTCATCAGATGGTCAACTCTTAGCCAGTTGTGGTTCTGATAACAGATTATGCATCTATAAAATGCCATCTAGTGGTTTGATTCATATTGGCGGGAAACCGTGTTTAGAAGAACCACCTGTTCTATGGGGTTATGTTCCGAATGCTCATTCAGAAGACGTAAACTGTGTACGTTGGCAACCTAGGGGTTTCAACAGCAAAAGTCATAGCGAAGATACATCAGACAGTCAACTAATTTTGACAACAGCCTCTGATGATGGATATATCAAGTTTTGGTCAATCAAGTGTGATGAATAATACTGTTTCTTTCACTCACCAGACGATTGTGTTTATTTGTAATTGTACTATTTTATGAACAATTATCTGTACATATAATTTTTACTTTTATAGTCTTTAAAATTGGTCTTATTTTCATTATAGATTCAATACACATGGTGATTTTCACTCTTTTTCTCATATATATTTTTAGTCTACGTTTATGATTCAGTAAAAATTAAATCGAAATGAGTAAACATTGATTTTGCTCCGTGTCTAATAGCAACGATGAGTAGTCAAAAGAAAGGAGATAAAGGTAATTTCGGCATTCTGGTTTGAACTTCTTTTTTAGGAGTTTGTAAAATGTACTAACCATTTGGAATTGATCGTCAATGCTACTGACATTATGTTATATGGGTCATTGATGACCTTAAAATGTTGGTTTTAGGATTTTCAATATCAGATTTGTTTGTTTATAGCTACGCTTCATTCGATCACCTTGAATCGTTAATATCGGATGCTGACGTTAAGTGGGTTGTGGTAAATGTAAAATGATACAAAATATCACAATCTAATGGCCTACTTTTAGCAATCCTTAAATAAAGCTAACTGAGATCACGACTGCAATATGAGACTCTAAACTAATTTCAGATAAATAGTCTGATTCTGCAGTTGATGTTCATTTGCGATGAAAACTATTTTCCAAATTATGCAATCCTCTAAAAACCAAGTGTTTCTTTCTTATTGTAAATCATCGTTTCTAAAGTGGATTATCAGTTGATGGCTATTTTCAATAGCGTTTTTGATACATAGGTAACGGAAAAAGTCTTTTATTTATCATTTACTTGCTATTTAATCTTTTATTGTAATCCATCAATAAATCCAAAGAATATATCAAATATTAGTGTTTGACAACTTTATAAATACGAATGAAATAGTTATACACTTATACTTATCTTTATATTTTGATATTTAGTTTAGGTAAGTAATAGTTGACTGTAATCATGGTTGTATAAATTCGAGATATCACTTCAGGGAATGTAATTGAAATAGATTAAAATCCATCCACAGAACATTCTGAAACTGATCACTCGGTTATGTCATAATCATTATGTTCTATGTATGCATTATTCAATATGTACGAAATTACCAGGATGATTACCTCAGTATCCTAAGTTTTGAGAACATTCGTTTTAGTTGCATATTTATTATTGACCTTTAGACGCCCTTATTAAGTTAATCAAACTGAAAAGCGAATTATTTGGTCAGATTTAAGTGAATGATTAGAATTACCACTAGGGATGTCTATAACGTTTGTCCCATCGCCATTGAATTTTTCATTAGTTAAGCATCATTAACCTCGCCTAAAGGCTTGTTACATTGTGTTGTTTGGATAAACAGTTTTATTTGCCTTGACGTTTTTGTATGATAACTAAGTTTCGTAGAGTATAACATCAACTTTTCTAATTCTCACAGCTGCGTTTAATCATGTTTACGTAGTATACATGTTTTTTCTTAGAAATAATGACCAATTTATCTATTTTACACAGCTGGTTATCTGTTTCGTCTATCAATCTATTGGCAAAAACTAGTCTTCCATATGTACATAGACAGTTATGTCAGTAGGAGCTTATGTATGTGAACATACAAATACTGATGTTAAGTAGTCGAAGGTAATTGAACTAATTTCCATGCTAGTTGGCACTCGTCAGCAAGAGACATCTACAATCATGAGGAGACTGATGCGCCCCATATGATTCGAAATTTATTACCCAAGTTCATCGTCTGAGCTATTCTGACTATAACTGATCTATAGAACCTATATTTATAATGTAAATAGTAAACTATGTACATATGAATATTGGTAGATAATAAATGAGTTGCTACAGTTTACATTAATTTAATATTGATTCCAAGTGACTGTATAATCCAATTTCGTTCATTATAATTTGTTTGACAAAGAAAAATAATTTTAATTGTCCCATTTTCGTATAACGTAATTCAATTATACGAGCGGATTGTAACAGAAAGCATAAACATTACTATGTATTGAAGAAAAGTAGGTTAATTCATTTGTTATCTCTTAAGAAGTCTAATTGCTTCTTCCAAATCAAAATTACTCAACTATTTCATTATTTATTTACTTTCTCTTTATCTGTTATTTCGGATTTTTGGACAATTTCAGCTCTGAACAGTTTGTTGTTTTTCTTAAGCTGTTTTCAAATTGTCACTTGTATCCAATAGATGCGCTTATTTCTTGTTCCGTACGAGGATTGAATTAATTATTATATTGTGTAATAACCTTTTAAGATCAAAAAATCACTTATTTAGGGGTCCATATAATCCTAGATGGTATTATGTTATCAATTAAGTTAGTATTTAATTTCAGTTTCAAAATCAACAAGAAGAAAATCAGTTAAATACTAAGCAATTGCTGTTTAATGATATCAGCTTTATTTTTTACAACTACTCTGTTGATAAGATCCATTCAGTACAAATTAGCTAATTATTAGTCGATGTATAGATTTTTTTTGTTGAAAAATTGTACCAGTCACTCAATATCCATAGGATACTTAGTTGGCTTGTGCTTTATACTAAATCCACGAATCCGATGACGCGTAGTCAGAACTAAAAGACTTTGAACCTAAGTCAAAATGATACAAGTACACTTATATATTGATTTTACGGACACTTGATGATCAGTTTATAATGATCACATATACAGAATTACTACCAAAATCTCAAGCTACATAATTCATACTAAAATAATGAAATGAATATTATTTTAGATCAAAATTACAATGAAATAAATCAATATTATAGTGAACAAAGTATATTAAAAGTGAACAAGTATAACACTGAATAATCACTATATGGAATTAGAAGAAAAAAAATTGGAAGTTATGTTTAATAAAAATTGCAATGGATATATAGAATGTGGGTTTTTTTTCTTCTTCTTATCTTGTTATTATACCATTAACAATATTGAATAACACTTATCAACATAAAACTGAACATTTCATTTATCTATTAAGTTTATCATAGATGAATTGATTGGTCATAGTTTATATACTTTTCATTTGGATTTTTATAGAAATTGTACTTTGATTTAGATTGTGTATGTTATTGTTCAAGTATTTGGATTCTTACTTTATGATGGAATTTATGAATGAAAAATAAAGCTTGATTAGTTAAAATATATTTTAAGAGATAGAGTAAATATATTTTTTACCTATTTATTTATTTAAACACATAAACATTGGTAGAAGGAGGCACCAAGTAGATATGCACCACATAAATCATCCAATTTGTGTGAGGGCTGTGATGCTGCACGGGTGCCCGGACCGAAGCAGGTGGTTTTCTTAGGGGACCACACTCGGAGCCTTTGACCTAAAGGTTTGACCCACAAGGCAGCGGAGCATCGTGAGGAGATGTAGTCCCATGGTAGCCGGTGATCAACGATTGGTTCATACGCCATTTGTTTCCTCAGGATACTGGAGCTCATGTGCACCATTGGTTTGGAATGCGGTTAAAGCGCCTGACATTTGCTTTTCGTCCTCTCAATTTCGTAAACAACACACCCGCCATGAGGAGGCAGTGAGTAGGACTTCCCTATTATTAACCATTTTATGTAGAAATAAACAGTACGTTAAAGCAAAAAATAGTGAATAAGATATAGAAGCTAGACTTTGTTATTATTTCAATATCGTTAACAATTTCTGGGCTTTAAAAGTGTTGAGAGTTTAGTACATAGGATACTTTTTCAAAGAAGTATAGGTCTAAAAATATTGTTCGTCTGATGATAAATGTATGGAACTTCAATCTTTTGCATACTCGTGTTAATTTCGTCTAAAGAGTCATACATTAGAAATAAGGAATAATACTTTAGTTCAGTTTAAATTAGTTTGGAAATACAGAGAACTAATTCCATGGTTCATAATGCGCTATTTATTATAATTTCTTTTAGCATCTTTTATCGTACAATGTCTGATTATACTTAATGTCTGAGTTCGGATTATTATTATTAGGATAATAGCATACATGTCATTTATTTTATGATGCCTATGATAAAAATGAGATTAGCTAAAATTTTATTTGATTGGATAACTCGTACATTATCGAATAATTGGAAGAGGAATTAGAAAATATAAAAGTAACTGATTTGAAATTTGGCAAATGAAGTTAACCATATATATATTAACCAAATTAGACAATAAATTAGGGATTAATGAGTTTGTAGGTGTCATTAACAAGGTTTGATTTGATAATTTCGAATAAATTGAAGAAGTGACTTACACTAAGTCACGAAACGTCAGAAAATCCAATTTTCTACTCATTGGGATATTACAAATATATTATTTTTATTTATAATAAATTAGGAAAGTAAAGTGAAACGATTAATTGTAAATATATTTATTTATACTTATTAACAAATTCTGGGAATAAGTAATTAATCTATTAAGCCTTTTCATGCTGATTTAGACAACCTCCTTTTAACTCTGATTAGGTAAGGAAATAAATGTAGATATCGTTTTTATATTCAACAAATCTAAGACATTTCAACTAATGATCATATAGTTAGACAAATGGAGTACAGTTTAATTGATTTGTATCAATCGGATGTTTATACATTTTATTAGATCCAGCTAGATGATGTTAGCAAGTTGTGAAGTAAACAAGTATTGATGGATAATTAAATATGACAAATACATATATCATTATATAAATTTATCGAATCGAATAATACCTTTTTCCAAGATTTACACACTTACACTAACTAGAACAATTTATAGGTATTTCACTTTTAATTCTTGTTATTTTAATGTAACTTTTTATGTTTCAAGCTTGTGTGATAATTAGGAGTATTTGAATTATAGTATAAATTAAGAATCCTAGAAATAATGCGATTAGATCAAGAAGTACACGATAAACACGAATGAATGTACTGTATTTGGAATTCGAAATCAAGCATTCAACAAGTACAAAGGAAGCATTAGTTCATTCAAACACCACAGCTTGATAACTATTTCCCTGAAGCTATAACCAACATGTTTATGTGATCATTTAGTTTATAAGCTTGCTTCTTGACATCTTGTCTACTGATATACCAAATGATTATAGTACTCTAGAATATTTTTTTACCAAACAGATTTATTCATTTTAGAGATAAAGATCAGTAGATAAATACA